ATATAGGCATTCCCTTTCTTTGGCATATTGTTTTATTTGTGTATTCTGGAGCCCGTTCAGTGGGATCCTCTCCATTGTTCCCAGCGGGAGCAAGCCACAGTCCATACCACGTTGCCTCTTCCGCCTTGTCATTCCTGATGGCCAAAGGATTGCCCAGTGAGGCAGGTAAGACAAAAACACACGTTTTATTTGTAGTCGGTCAAAGACTTGAGCAACTTTTAAGGGAATGAAGATTGGGTCACAGTGAGATGTCAGAGAAGAGCATGCCATCTTTTCTGTGTGTTTATTTCAAACACTGATGACAAGCAAAGTTACTGCAGTTTTAAGGAGCTTTAGTAGAATAGGCGCAAGTGCAATTTCTAAACTAGTATGATACATTAGCTGATGTGTATTATGATACAATCTCCATCTCAGCTATAATGTTTATTTATTCAGCCATAAAATCAAGAAAACTCTGTTGGTTATACGAGTTGGTAACCGCCTAAGTACAGCTCTTAGAGAGCTAAATGCTTAGACTATAAATGAACTGAACTATGTACATGCAAATGAAATATACCTTTGAAGTGAGGCTGTCAAGATTGATGAGGTTACAGCTGATGTAATGTTTATTTTTTGTTTGCAAAATTAAATTAACTCTCAATTTTTGCCAGGAATGGCCCAATGTTTTTCTTACCAGTGAAGATAAATAAATGACAAAACATCATCATTTATGTGCTAAAAGTATAATCCAGAGTATCACCTCAACCAAAGTTCTCAGTTTGCAGGGTCAGACCCAGAATGGTGAGTGTGAAAGGGGAGGGGAAGAAATTATTTAAATAACAGATCCTATTTCAAGCTTCTAGTCAATGTTTGGCATTAGTAAGAGTCATTTATAAAATGGAATTTAGCAGGCACTTTTTATTATCCACTTCCATCTTCCAAAAACAATGTCTGAAAACTCATTGCAAAAATAGAAGTCAGTGCAAATTTGAAGAGAAATGATCTATATGTGACTTGTTCCTAATCATTATTTTCTATCTACATCTAGAATAACTAGATGCTTTAAAAAAAAAAAAGTTGGCTGTGGTGTTGTTGAAACTGTTTTTTCTGATTTTCAGTAATAAAACAAACACTACTCTGCTAAAACTGTTATGAATAAATTTTGGAATCTGCTGGCATTTATTGGTTTTCTCTGCAGACTACATAGATGATTTATTTGTCCTCCTGCAGGGAGGAAAAAAGTATTGCTGCTTAACTACCTTCGTAATCCTTAGATAGAGCAGGTGCCAGCTCTTCCATTAGCAAAGGTGTAGCCTTCTAGAGAATCACAGCTGCCAGGAATCACGGGGTTAAGCGAGCCAGCACTCCTGACAAGCAACTGAGGCTATTTTGGTCAAAACCCCGTGTGACACATCTGCTGGGAACCCAGATGGAACTAATTTGGTAGTGCTATGATAAACCATCACCCAGAAGAACTGGAAATCTCCTCTCACAAGTTACATCCACGTGTTGGGGAGGATCACATCCAGCAGAGAGGAGAGAGGGTGGCAGTGATGGCTTGTCACTGCCTGAGTCTCCCCGCTCGGCCTGGTGTGGGCACAGCTGCTGTCCACGCTCTTTGGCTACTGCCCTTATGGCCTGGCATCTTGTGCATCTCCCTTTGCCATCCTAAGAGTATTATTTTTACATAGATGCTTGCCTGCCTGGTCCTCTGTGTCTCATGCTGCTGTTCAGGAGGAAGGGACCTGGATTACCTGCAGTGGGGCTGCCGTGGCTTTGCTGTTGCCTGCTGCGGTGCGAGGGCACTAGAGGATGGCTGCCTAGCTGCCCAGGCAGAGTGGGCAGAGGAAAGAGAAACCCAGGGTGCAGCTCACAGCTTGCTTCATGCTACTTGAGCACCACCCTGGCGTTTGCACCAAGCAGAGTGCTAGCCACAGTATGGCCGTGGCCGTGCCCTCGCTGCAGGCTCCGCGCTGGACTCTCTCCACTGGGCAGCCAGCCTGCGGGGAATATGGAAACCAGAGGGGTGGAAGATGTCTGGCATAAGGTAACAGGAGTCTCTTAGTTTCCTGTGGTTTGGAGGGTAGAGTTTCCAGCAGGCAGCTGTAAGAGCTTCTGGTCCTCCATGTTGCTGCAGCAAGGGGCCGGAGGCATCCTGCAGGTAAGGGCAGGACATCAAGGTACTGTTCACTCCTGCTGTTTCCTTCTCTTTCTCTTCTTGTGCAGGTGATGTTCCAGGACTGCAGTTGCTCCCCATTCCCATCTTACATGTGTTCCCAAGCATCCTGGAAATTAACTTCTGCCCTGTTCTCTCCTCCAGCCCTGCATTCAGAGCTGAGCTACCAGCAGGAACACAGAGATTGTCTTAACTTCTGTTCTGAAAAGCGTAGCCTTGATATCTGAAGCTTGCACGTGCTGCAACAAGACTCTGAAAAGCAACAAAACTGATGAGACTGGCAGATTACTTGGGGATCCCAAAGAGTGTATGGAATGAAGCTGGAGAGTGGGATTTCAACCCATCCAGACAACCAGGATATTTTCATCACTGCAGACAGGGCTGCTCCAGGCTGTAAATGCCCTTTATGGGTAAGGCACTGGAGAGGAAATGCATAAACAGATATTTAAGAAATATTTAAGAAGGTTACAGAACTAGGTAGCATGTCTTGTGCAACCACTGAAGTACATTGAGTAAAATTAGAGCTCTTTGCTACTTTTATGTTTTATAAAATTTTTGTGTATTTTTAGTATTTTGTGGAATGAGAAAAGAGGCAGTTTTATGTGCTTACTATTAAATGTTGTTTGCAGGTGGTGGTGATGATGCACACCAGCAAACTTAAACACACAGGTAATAGCCTCAGTTTCCCCTAGGTTTATTTTCTATGCTGATACTTTGCTCTCCATAATAACACTTGACAAATTTTGCTATAAAACTTCCCTTCCATTTGAGGAAAAAAATTGAGTCTGCCACTTGTTCACGGTCTGTATTTACGCCAAATAGTGTATTTTGTAAAGGAAGGGGAAGTGGCATAGTTATCTGATTGACAGGCTAAAGGAAAATGTTTTTAGCAGCTATAAAAAAACATTGCAAAACATGTACTTTATAAATCAAAGCTCTGGAGGGAGATCTCTATCAAGTACTTTATTGATGTAAACACATCAATCCTGATCATGGCCAGAAGACTGAAATAACTTTTTTAACCAACAGTTCCCAGTGTGTGGTACACATCACTCCCCTCAAGGAACATAAGAAATATTGCCCATTAAAGTGTAAAGTTCTTCCTGTGACATCTTCCATGGACCGTGCTTAGTTGCCTCTCTGGAAAAAACCTGCCCCCAAGCTTTCTATACACTCATAATGAAATTGGGGGATGAATCATCTTCAAAAGTTTCAGGCTGATGGTACTAGAAAGCAATGACAGCATGCGAGCAGCTAGAAAGAGGGCTGTTTCCTCCCAGGGGAGGGACTGGGGTGGGGGGCGAATGTGTGCCAAGTGGCAGAGCCTGTGATGCACGGACCCAGCTGTGTTGGTCTGCTGGCTTGAACACATGGCAGGTTACTCTAGTGCACAACACAGCCAATTGCCCTGGGGAGCTTGTGTTGCAGTGTTTGCAGATTTAGAGCAGTGGAAAACCATTCAGCAGCCACCCTTGGAAGACTCTGCCCAGAGCCTAGGAATGTGAAATACATGTCTGCTTCTGGCATTCTTCCTGGACTTGAATGAGGCTGTTTGTATTCAGTGCAGCTGCTGTAAAGGGTCATATTTTCTGAGGGAATGTGCCTTATTACAAGGCATTCCAGAGATTAAATGGGGGGTGGGGGTGAAAACAAATATTTGTAACAAATTAATGTTTTCTTCTCCTATTTTCTTCCCATACTGCAGGAACCAGATAATGATCATTATACCCAGGAGACTGAAGATTCTTTCTTCACTGAAAAGTCACCCCACAACTATGTACCGTAAAACTAAACAATGTAAACACACACAGTCGCTTCTCTGAAAAGGTGAGTGGTGCAAAACATCCCCCCAGTGTTATCATGTACAACATGCCTTGCAAGGCAAATGCCAGCATCCCCATAAATTACTTAACACTATTCTCATATAGTCGTAAAAACCAAGCAGTAGAGATTCGATTAAGCATAATTTCCAGATTCCCCTTCCATTTGGAGTACAGGTTGAAGCAATCTGTTGACAGCTTACTCATCCTTCTGTTTTCCCACACACATACTTGCACTCCAGTCTTCCCAAAAGCTGTGAAGGCACCATTCTTTTTCAGAAAGAGAGAAAGAGAAAGAGAGAAAACAAAAACAAACGAACAAAGCTTGTTGCTTTTTGCCCGTGAGATGCCTGTGTGAATTGCTGTGGCTGAAGTTTCCATTTGTGTTGCAATGGCTGGCAACATCAGAACTGATTAATGATTCAGCAAGAGAGGCAGAGAGGGAAGATAATACTAACATAAGGAACATTCTGCTCCTTTCCCAGTATTAATATTACACAAATATTGTCTTTATTTACAATTTCAAATTCATGCATCCAAGCAAGAACTGATCATTCAAAGCATGCTAAGCCAAATAAGCAGATGAAGGCTGCTGCAGAGCTGGCATTCTGTACAAGCCTTGTGAAAATTAGGTGCCTCATTTCTCAAACTGGAAGGAAATTAGCACTTATTTCTGTCCTAATTTGCTCTGTGATTTTAACTATCCTACTTGGATACCACTGCTTCAGTTTTTTCAACAGCTCAACAGAGATTAGAGTGGAGTATCAGGCTGTGGCTTACGTAATCATAAGGTTCACCATTTTTAAAAGGTACTCCGAGATCCTTCAAGAGAAACGACTACTAAAAGGTAAAGCGTTATACATTGTGCTGATCCTGTCTACTTTGAAAAAAGTATACTAGTTACTCACTTGCTAGCTAATTGCTGATGGTGAAGGTACTTGATAATTGATACATAACACTGCATGCATGTAGCAACCAAAAAACTTTATTGGTCTATTTCTTTAACAGTCTGGTTTTTTTTTTCTTTTTTTTTTTTCCTTTCATGTGGTCTAGGATTAAAAACATCTCTTAAAGTTAATCATGGAAATCTAAATGAATTTTTCTATTGTCAATTTCCACCACAGACAACAGTTTAGTAAGTGCCGTATTTTCCAGCCCAGTAACATGGGATAAGTATTAGTACTAAATCTGAATATATCCTTAAAGCAAAACGTATGATTTAGCTGTCAAACTTTACCAGGAAAGTCTTCAGCAGGGAGTAGCTGGACTGTTCATACTGAAAACTATGCATAACTCCCTCCTAGGCTGTGACAGGTGCAGAAAAAAAAAATCTACCTCAGAAATAGAACTTCTGGAAATTACTTACCAGAAGTAATGAGTAGTTAAAAATAATCACATTTCATACAGGTATAGAGAGCCCTCCCTCTTTGGCAAATCCAAGTCAATATCATAAAAAACAAATAGATGATTTAGAAGTGTTTACATTTTTTTGCTACTGGCATGTTATGTCTTTGCACGCATTGACTTGTAAAAATCTCAATGTTTGAAGCTAAAATTATATTAACAGTCCAAAATAATCATATGAATGGAAAGATTTTAACTGCTAATTTGCTTGGTCAATGTGTAAAACCCACTTCTAAAATGCAGTTCATAACTAATCTTTGGTTTAGGATGGTCAGAATTCCATTAAAACCAAGTTCAAACAGATCTTTCTAAAGATATGTCCAGAAAAATCCTACTCTGCTTGAGCTAATAAACTTAAAAAGTCAATATTCATAATACTTGTGTACCTGCCTGTAAGCTAATTTCCTACATATTAATTTTTGTAGAAGTAATGAAACATTTCTTTAAGAAAATCCAAGTCCCTTTATTTTGCTTATAGATACATAGATAAAGAAACACTTGCATCACCACTTATATACAAAATTAATTTAACAAAAGCATAATACCAAAGATTTCCTCATCAGGCAATTATGATCGAGCAGACAAGCACTGATTCACCACCTCCAGTAAGTGAGAGTTTTCCAAAGCAGCTGCTACACGTTCTTTATCAGCAAGCTGTTTATTAACTGTTCAGGGAAAAAATATATATATATAAAACTTGTCAAAACATTGGTATATAATGTCTTTTTAAAAACATTATACGTTGAGACTGATAATCACACTGTTGCTATGATACTCAGGTAGACTTGTAATTCTGCAGATGCTGAGCACACTACAGAGTTGTAATATAAAGTCAAAGCTACCATATTATCACAAGTTAAACAAGGAGGCTATTTATGATTCACCAGCAGTGAGCTATGCATGTATAGCTGTAATAAGAAATTTACCCTCAGCTTCTGCTCATTTTCTGAGCCCTCCATAATGCAGGCAAATTGGGGACTATTTGAGAACGCAAACTGTCTGAGGAAACGTTTCAGGTAAGGTGCATGACATATCTAAGTTTTATTATTATGCATTCTGGTTCTGTAACATCTGGTGGAAGGGGCTGTGTGTGAAGTCCAGATACTCAACAGCTGCTCTGCAGACGCAAGAGTATCTCTCACTCTAATTTGCAAGATTAAAAGTGTAAAGAAAAACACACAACAAAGCACTAAAAAGCTCACCTGCATGCTCAGAGGCGTGTGTTCCTGGTGTTATATGAACATCCACCTTAAAAGGAGAAAAAGAGTCACAAAAGAAGAAGAGAGAGGACAAGCCAACAACACACCGGAAGCTCGGACTCAAATAATTAAACAAGGAAAACAAGACAATTAAAAACACACACACACGTTCTTGTCAAAGCCAGTGATTGTATATAGCAAAACAAAACAAAGTCTAAAATCTGGATTCCAGGCAAAAGCCTGCACTGCATGCTGCGCTCTGATCTGCTTTACGCCTCCTTCAGGCAGCTGCGTAAAACACAGGCCTCTAATCCCCATTCATAAAAGTGAGATTCTCACCCTTAAGGAGCTAGGGTGCCACAAAGAACTAAATGTCATTCCCCATCGTGCTCCTGTTTGCCTTTGACTCGACCTTCAGAGAGCAGGCATTCTGTATCCACTCTTTAGTTTAGTGCCTTCTGATTCTTGTAGTGTTTCCCTTCCCCCATAATATGAGGAGATGAAGAAAAGCTCTAGTTAGTTTTCACTTTAATTTGCTTTTCACTTAAAGTTAGTTGTCAGTTTTTTAAAAACACACCGCCTTCTTCTGCTTTCTGGACTGATTCTATTACTCACCTTAAATCTCTCAGGCAGAGATCTAATCAGTTTTACTTTTATGGACAGGCCAATTAATGTCGCCATGCTGCAGTGAGGAATCGTGGGTGTAAACTCCACTGCTACGGTACTTTCAGCGTCATTCACCTGTCGAAAAGCAAACACTCTCTATGTACAAAACTCACTGACCGTATCACAAGCCAGCAGCAGGCACTGCGTGTGAAACGCAGCTTGCAGCTCCGCTCTGCTGCTCATCGTTTTCCTCCTTGTCATTTTCATACGTTACGGTTGAGCGAAGCACAAGTCTACGCTAACTCTCCTTTCACGGCCACGGGAACACGGAAACTAAGCCGCGGCGTTTGGACAAGCCTGGCAGAGCACTCGCCTTGACGCGGACCTGCTCCACGACGTTCAGCTCCTCCAAGGTGAGCGGGTGCTCGGGGTCGTTGATGGAGCGGATGAGATGTGCCAGGCTGAGGAAAACGCGCTGCGGGCGGCTGCGCCACCGGCCGCCGCCCCGGCCCCCC